ACTCCACGCTCACAACCTTCTTTCCAAACCATTTTTCCAATCCCAGAGTGTTTACATCCGTTTCACTCATATCATGAACATGCAGCCCAAGTTTTATGTTGGGTCCGCCATGCATCACACCCTTGATCGGGAGCACAGTCGTTCCAGAAAATATCTTCAACTCAACAACGAACGACTTGTACAGGCTGAACTAGCTCTTCGCTACTGGCAGGAGCATGACAACCTATATATCTGGGCTCCCATCCCCATCTACAAGGAGAGAGCTGACTACCGACGCCTTGAACTGGCCCTCATTTAAGAATGGCAGCCTCGCCTGAATTACCCATTCATTTGCCAAGTTTTCCATCCAAGAAAGCGCATTCTTAAAAAGCCTGCCTTGAATACAAATGCACAGTTCGGCCTGGCAACTTTATGGCGCCGAGCAAAACACCAGTTTACTCCACAATTGGCGAAGGACATCTTAGCCTCAGACCGATTCCAGAACCGTCTGGAGCTCTGGACCATCATCCACGCTTTAGGTTCAAACACCAAAGCGAGGTTTGAACAAACCAAGATGCTCCGGTCCCACGAAGGAGGTCTCACCTTGTGCTATGCTCTCCGACGTCTCGCCAACAACGTCCAGGAACCATTTCGTACACTGTCTCTTCAAGCAATCGACACCTCAATCAAATGGTGGCAAGGCAAACCGGCACCACGTGCCTCAGCCTTGCGCTCACCTTGGTCACTTACTCCAAACCTTCAACGCCACTTGAAACAATTCCTTCGGAAATGGCACCTCCAGGTGCTATCATACCAAGTCCCATGTCACAACCCACCCTTCAAAATGGTCTTCATCAAACATGCAGCTGTACCCGACCAACTTTGTAACCACAAACAGGCCATCTCCGCCTGGTCAAGTGGTCAAGAAGCCAGTTGCTGCTGCAAACACTGGCTGAAATTCAAGGGAGCAGCTCTCAATCCGTCCGATCCTCACTGGGTTTTAGCAGGATCTCTCCTTCACTCGCTTCTTCCAGCTGACCTTGCAGTCATCGCTGAAGGATCCTTGCTAAACAAGGTATTCCCATCCAAAAAGGAATGCCATACCCAGTTGAAGACCGGTCTGCACAGTTGGACCAAGCGAAACGGCCTTCCCTCTATGCCAAATCAAGACATCTCCGACTTGTGTCACAAATTGTGGACTGAACATTCCACGCATGTCACGTGTCACCTCACAAAGTCCTCAATCACCACCTTCCAACAGACATTTGAAGGTGCGATCTTCCATTGTGAAGACAAGCAGGCCTCATCTCTACGGATCTATTGTCCTTGTCTCTATTACCAGGCCATTGACAATACCTTCCAGGATCCGTCCATCTTTGAACCTGTCTCCCAAGATCCAGCGACGATTGTCACAGCCCTTGTTGATCTTCTTCAAAAACAACACAGCAAAGCATACCCATGGGCAGTGGGTCCTGGTCGACAACTCCCAGCAGGGTACATTCTGGCAAAACGAAAGAAGGCGTTCCAGAGTGGTAGACCCATCATATCACTTGTTGATTCTCCATTCCGACCTGTGCTAAACATCTTGGCCAGGATGATCTTTCAACTCATCCCAGTGGCTTGTCCAGACCACTTCGCTTCCGGTGATGTCTACACACTTCTGGAGATTCTTCGATCTGCACCAGTTGACGCCAATTTGGTCAATCAAGATCTAGCTGGGTTCTTCACCAGCATTGACCAAGAGCGCTTTATCGGAGCCTGGTTCATGCTCTTAGACTTCCTCCGGCCCAAAATGGACGTCTCCGACCATGAGGTCTTCTCAGTCTACCCTGGAAAATCGAACAATCCGGGTGACACCATCAAGGGTCGCACATTTCGTCGACTCAACGTCACTCGAAAGATCACCATCAAGGATGTACCCGGATTACTTACCACGGCACTCAACATGCAAACGTTCGCCTTAGGGCATCTGTGCATCCGCCAATGCCGAGGCAGTCCCATGGGAAGTCCTCTATCCCCAGCCCTGTGCCTCATGGTCGTTTCCATCAGTGAACTGATATGGTCTATCAACTTCAAACAAATCCTTTCCAATCATCACCTTTTTCTCAAACATATTCGATACGTCGACAATCGCCTCATTTTTGGAGACTCTCGTCTCAGGCAACTTCCCCCATACGAAGTCCTTCTCGATGAAGGATTCTATGGAAAACCCATCATCCTTGAAACTGAACCAGACCAAGAATTTCTCGGTTTCCTGCTTGAAACCCAACCTTTGGAGCTCATCTACACTGGTCCAACCAGCATTTCCCAAGTCCTGTCGCCATACTCAGCCTCACCACCAACAGTTCTCTTGAGCGGTTTTTAATCTCGCTGCCATATTGTCGTCAAGGGTGCTTTTCCTGAATTTCGTGTTCGACAAGGTCTTGATCAACTAATTCATCTCTATACCTTGGCGGGGTTTCCCAATGAATTCAACTCAGATTTTGACTCAGCATCAGAACCTTCAGCCGCATGAAAACAGGGTTTCTTTGTCTCGTTGGTTTTTTGCCTTTTGTTGCTTTCCCGTTTGTTGTTTCACTTGTTTCTTCTTGTCTTTTCATCACTTTTCTTAATGTCAGTTTGGCTCAAACTCGGACCCCATTTTCCTGCGTCTCAAATCAATTTCCAGTGCAACACAACATGGAAAACCCCCATGGCCGTGAAATCCACTACCATTTGGCTCGGGCTCTTATGCATATGAATTATAACATCGCTGGTTTCCTCCCTTTCTTTGAACTTTGAACCTGGGACGATCACCCTCAGGATCTCTATGGTCGTACCAACCGGGTACCTCCCCAAGCTCGGCACCTTCATACCTTCGTGCCCATCCCATCGTCCTCATCAGTTCCCACTCTGGTCTCTCATGGAGGCATGCCGTCACATATGGTTCTGAATCCAGAACCCAATCTACGACCCCTTTCCATTCGTCGAGAGGGCAATCCATTATCATGCATGCTCTTGTCTGGCATTTGGTGCTCTTCGCTGGCAGGCCTGGAGGAGCCGACTCAGGGGGGCCCAACTCATTGGAAACAACTTGCTCATCCTCTAACCAACCCTTTTCGTGCAAATAGGCCGACACTCTAGGAAGAAGTCTGGTATGAAACCCCCTTCCCTCGGCCCTCCGAAACAGCTCTTGCGCGATCCGACCAGCAACCGCACAACGAATCGCACCGGCTCCAGTGGGCGCAGCATCGGTGCCATATAGCACGTTGCTCACGGGACATCTTAATTGAGTCATCGCAAGGGGGCCTAAGACTGCAAGGAGTTGGAGCTCTTGTCTAACCTGTTTAGATGGCTGGAAAGGAGATTCAGGGTTTCCATCTGCAGCAACAACATGGTAACTCATGTGCAATGCTAAATAATGAAACAGAAAGCCCTGCAGCAGCCCAACAACTTCTCGAGCGCCGTTTTGGTCAGGGCTGCAGACTTCGCTGCAAGCCCTGAAGCATAGGCTAAAGAACACAACCGGGACCGCTTGGCTCCAATCAGCCCTTCAACTCCTTCTATTTCTGCACCCCATGCGCATAACAGTGGCTCGTCTCACCCTCTTCTTTGGATGAAATTAATTGGAGACCGGCTTGAGCATACGCGTTGTCCGCTTGGGCACATGCTTCGGAGTCTCTGAGAGGCATATGGGGGTCATGTTTTGGGACAACCCGCAAGTTCACCTTATCATCCACACAAATACCCGAAAAATGCCCTAGGGGACTCCGGGGAAGAATGTGGCCCAGTCTTAGGTGTTCATCCTTAGTCAAAGCCCCAAATGCCATCAACAAGTTTTCATGACTCTCTTGTGCGACTGTAGGCGCCCAGTGGTCGCCCATGCTCAAAACCTTGGAAGCACATGACAACTGTGGTAGAAGGATGAATTGGTTTCTTTGGGTGACGAGCCTGCAACGCCGCAAAAGCTTTTGTGCCGGCCCAGTCCGCTGCCCTCCAAAAAGGGCCCACAGGGGTGCTAAGGGCTCTGTCCAAACTGACTACAAACTCATGATAGAAATTTCTGAGGTCGTCACAACTGCCCAGCAAGTTGCAATCAGGGGGGATCACGATACCTAAAAAGGTGGACGGATGGCCCATCTTAGCCCCTTCACTAGGCGGCCATAGCTCCCGCGAATTACGGGGACGCCGGTCAATGATCTGGCGCAACTCGCCATCTGGCTTTGGGATACAAAACAAATTGCAACGATCCTGCAAGTCAATCTCACTCGGAAGAGCTAAGCACAACCTGCTGACTTCATCCCAGCGCTTACCTAGACTCAGCAACTCAGCCATTGCCCCTGCAGAAATGCTGTCAGGCGGCATCATCGCGACCCTCGCGGGTTGATCTTCCCTCCAGCCCAGCAAACTTGACGGCCTGTGGTAAGCAAGTCTAGAAACATCGCAAGGTATGGCAAAGGATCGAATCCATTCAGACTATCAGGAAAAGCAACCCTGTCAGCGATGGTGGCTTTCACCTGGGTGCCACTTCCTACAGCCGTTTCTCGATTCAGGACCGCAGAACCATTTGACACACCATACGGGAGATCCGAATCTTCAAACAAAACATGCAAAGCTTCCAATTCACTGGCTGCAGTGGCAACCTTTGAGCCGCACCTTAAGAAGTCATTGCTACCAAGGCGGCTGAGCGAGCGTGCCCGAGAGACCAAATTGTCTACTACACCATGCTGTTGAGAGCTTAAGGGGATACCATGATTCCAGGGGCCCTTACAACCGTACAAAAAAATTAAAGCAGCAACCTGAAGATTTACCAGCAGTTCCACAAAACGGCGCTGCCTCCATCTCATGCGCTTCCTTCTTGAGGTTGAGCTCTCATGATGGGGCTCCATTCAAACGGAGCAGGAATCGGGAAAAGCTCCATGGCCTCACTACTCATGGGACCATGCAAGGCCATGCCAGACCTAAGATAAATGGAAAACGGAGTTCGCTTGCCTGTCAAAAGGCTATTCAACAAAAATGCAGGCCCCACATGGACGGCACCCTCACTGCTGGGTCTCTTTCTGACTTCCACTGTTGTTGCCTTTTCCCTTGCCTTTTTGGTCCTTTCGATCCAGATCGTTTGGCGTTTTTGAAGGACCGCGTCTTTTCACCAAAACTTCTTCGTCCCTCATCCGAGCTGAGATGGCCGCCGCCCACGTGGGGTGTAGCAGCCTCGAATGGGCAAAGTCGTTGCGGAGCTGAGTCACAGTGCCACTGCGCACCTGCCACTCCATAAATGGCGGGAGGTTCAAGTTGGTGACCCTCCACGCCGCGCTCCAATTGGAGTCTAGTTTGAACTGCTCGAGAGAGGCCAATCCCAAAAGGATGAGAAGGTGTGCATGTTGAGGCTTTCCAGCTTTCAGCGGCCCGGCCGCCTTCACCAGCAGCCACGCCATGTAGCCCAGGTTGCGGTCCGTGCCGATCGGCAACTCTTCTCGCACATACTTCTCCATGGTATTGTTGTCGGGGGTCCCTTTTCCCAAGGGAGAACTGGCCATCAACTCGATTGCTTGCACATACTCCTGAGGGCTCGCGGTCATTGATGACCTCAATCTTTCTTGCAGAATGGTCCCCTTTGCACCACTCAAACGTCGCAAGGGGTCTTCGGCCTCCTCGGAGTCCGAGCTCTCCACATGCAACCCCAAATGCCTCTTCTTGGTCTTTTTGTTGGAGTCTCTGTGAACCATTTTGATCAAAGCCAACTTGAGCAGAGTGTCCAAATCTTCCGTGGCTTCGCCACCAGGCACTTCTTCGCCTTCTGGCTCCGCCACCTGTCGAATGGTATGGCCCTCTGCGAGGATCCACCGGCACTGATTGCACCTCTCCTGACCCTCTGGGTCGGTCTTGCTTCAAGGCATTCACGTCTCCTTGAAGTCCATTGACTGCAGTAGCCAAATTTTCCAACTGAGCAAGAATGGCATCCATACCTGGGGCATTGTCTGCCCGGCTGGATTGGCCTCGGCCTCTTCCATGGCCGACAAGTTCTGTTCGGAATTTCTAGCGTCCAACATAGTCCTGGCACCCTCCACCAAACTTCTGGCACTGGGACATGCTATGTCGCATAAGGGCCTAGGTCTGGAAGATCCTCGCCCACATATCCTGCCTCCAGATCGTCTGAAGAAATGGCAGCCTGCGGAATGGCTACCAGCACGCCCTTGGATCTTTTGAAAACTGGGATTGCAGCAAAGCATCTGTCCGAAAGCTGGCCCACCAGCCAGTCCCATTCAGCTGTATCCACTGCCGAACGCAAGGTCTTCAGCTTCTGGAGTGTCAACTTCGATGTTCGGCTCATCTATGCAAAGGAGATCGAAAACTTTTCAGCCCCGCCTCCACTAACAAGCAAACGCCTCTGTTAGGCTCTATAGCTGACAGCAGGGATTACCTCAATCGCCTCTGGGATATTGTCTGGATCTGCTCTCTGCTCCTCCTCGCGCTCTGGTTCGCGCTCAGCTTCAGGATCGCCACCCACGTGCACTGCAATGTTGATAAACAAGCTCTTAATTGTCCAACCAAATGTTGCATGCACTATTGGCCCCTGTATCCAGCCAATCGATCCTCTCGCAGATTAGCTGGAGGCCTGTCGTAGGCAGTAAGGCCTTCCACCAGAATGTTGAGCACCAAGCGCCGCAAGCGCTGCGAGCAGAGCAATGCTGTGCCCAGTGAGCCCACCACCAAGCCAGCTGAGAAACACAGCAGACCGAATAGCACCCACTCGGCAAAACCTGGGGCTATGCGGTATGGCGAGTTGACCAGGGAGAGAAGCAGAGGTTCCAGGAAGCGGATCCACATACGAGCTTCAGCCGAAAGGACTCTGCACCATTAAGAAAAGTGAATGCATGCAGAGACAGACCACCACCCAGCCAACTACCCACCACAAACCGGACATACTTCTTCGTCCAGCATACGTACACCTGCCTCAGAAACCTTCCCTCATTCCATTGCTCGTGACCCTGATGGTGATACTACACATCCAAAGTCAAAATCGACCTCTGCGGGGTCCAAAGAAGACGATCAACTGTCACTACAACGGTCACGCCAAATGAATCCTCAGCACCTCCACCTTCTTTGCCGATCATCCGTGATATTCCGCGAGACGGGTTCAACTCTGATAACTCGGAAGACACCAATGACAGGGACCGCTCTCCGTCCAATTCAGCTCCTGCTGCGGCAGCACCAGTAACACATTCTACTGCACCTGTCAACCATCCTCCTCAACCTCCAAATCCAGTTCCAAACCCTCCTCCGATTTCGGCAAAATCAAGCTCCAAAGCCATCACATTCAGGAGTCCCTCCATCACATCGGACATTCCCCCTGCCAACATCCGACCCTGGACGGATGCTGAAGATCAAGAACTCTGCAACATGAAGTATGACACCAAATCCCGCCCGTCATGGAAGACGATCGGTCTCAGACTTCGTCGTGATCCAGAGGTTTGTCGAATCCGCTGGGGCCTTCTAAAACAGATGCCCGAACATGCGGTTCGTCATGAACCGGAGGCAGAGGACTAATCGCCCAGGCATAAAAAACGGTTATTGCTGTACCGGACCGTTTCATTGTTGTTGATGGTCAATTTCTTCGTTGCCGTGTGTTTTCACCTTCCTCTTTGTTTTATTTTTCAGCATGGCTCATCAGCGTAGCTATATCTCCATGACTCCCGATCGGTTCCGTTCTCGTGATGATCCGCCTATGTGGGGTCATCCTAATCCAGAGCGACCTTACGACCCGACACAGAAGAGGTCCTGGAACTATACCCCGGCACTACAAAGGACCAGACGGGTATTGATCATCATAGATCTTGATCCAATAATTCGAAACCTGATGACTGAACGCTTCAGTGACGTGATGCAAGCAACAACCTGTGAACCCCTTCCCAACCTCTCTCCGAGTGAAGAGATGGCACTGTTGTTCACTTACAGCTTCCTACTGACCCCTGGTCAAATTCAAATCATGTCAATCGAGAATATTTTCCTCTACATCAGTCAGCATATCACCAACACTTGGGGAACATATCTTGAACCAACCTCCACGGATCTTCGATGGAGTGATTGCACTGGCGAGACCTTTGCTCTTCGTCCTCAACAACTCATCATCCGCCTTCTCCGTGAACATCGCCCACATTGGACTGAGGCTCAGGAAGTAGGTATCTTCAATCGGTTAGCTGACTTCAATAGTCCGGGCCAACCATATATCATGCGTCTCAGCTGCCATAAGGCTCTCCCAAATCCAAACATGCTAACTTCGTTTGCCAGGTACATCTACGACACCAGGATATCACCAACTCCCTTCATTTGGCTACTCGTCATCGACACCAGCCATTCCAATGCCCACTGCCAGTCAAAGCTGGAACCAACAAGAAGCATATCCGCTTCAATACGAGATGTCTCAACATCACCGTGTACTTCATACACATATATTCAAAGAAGTCACTACGTACCAATCCGGCACTCCAGTGCGAAGATTGGTGATCACGGAGGTTGACAATCAAGGAACGGAACGCAATCATGTACCACCACGGGGAGGCGGCTATGTAAACAGTTGGGCTGAAGCCACCCGCTTATCAAATTACTGGCGCCGGTTTTACAATATTGACCAGGTCTATGAGGATCAACCCACCTGGTATTCTCAAGAGGATCAGTCTGCCTGGTATCCTCAAGACCATCAATCCCTTGGATCGCCTGACAATGCTGCCTTAGGTGGTGAGGATGCAGAAATCTCAGACCTGGCAGACGACACCTCGGTGACAGTTGAAACAGGCCAACCTCGAGGACATCTCCGACATTTCGGACTAGATCCTGGCCATTCTCGCCCTTGGCTTCTGATTCTTTGATGTACTCAACTCTCGGTACTTCATTTTGTCTCTGGCATTTTTATACTCTATCCGTGACCCGTAGACCATATCAGAGCTTTGTTTCACGAGATGGGTGCGTCTTCCAAAAAGGCCCTGCGGCAGCAGGGCGTGTGTGTGAACCATCTGAAGAGATGTAAAACTTTTAAATTTGATTTTTCCAATTCTCAAAGGCAGGGGGTGCCGGGGGCACTGATGAGACCGGCACTAACAAAGACACTCATCAGTTGCCTGTGATATCGATGGGGACGCTCATCGACGTACCTGCTTCATTTTTCATGTCAATTTTCTGCAATGGGACGTGGCTAACTCAAGAACCACCATGCCGTTTCCAAACAACCTGTTTTCAATTTCTCGTCTTGCACGGTTTTCGTAATCTGTCAAGGAGGTAACGATTTGGCTTAGTTCTTGCATCTAGCAGTGACTCTGGGAATGGAAACTTCTTGATTCTTTCCGGGGTCTTGTCACGGACCCATTCCTGTCAGGTTTATATAATTGGATTGTTTTGCACCTAAGATGCATTCCACTTCAGAATTCGCAAAGATTGTTCTGAGCAAGTGTGTGTGTGTGCCATCTGAATAGATGTAAATCTTCTTATTAATGCAGGGGCGTTTGGCACTCATGTCCTACCACACGCAATGAAGCTGTGGACATGAGTGGGAAGGGAAACGTGGCCGGTTTCCTGTACCTGCGGCCATATTTATATGTATAGTTCCGCTGCTGGGCGCATTTAAGTCGCAGCTGGGGGGGACCTATATTTTATCGCTGTTGGTTTATACCGTCATTGTCTCCTGTGACTATATTTCTATAATTTTCTATATATATATATATATTATGTATATTCATCCTGTCATTCAATTGCTGGTGTTTTTGCACGTAAGATGCATTCCACATCAGAATTCACAATGACAGCTCTGAGCAAGTGTGTGTTTATCATACATGTGTTGGATACGTTGATGATAAATCCCAGCTACAAACATTGGGGTTTGCAGTTTGCATCAGTGGACCCAGCCCCCCTGGGTGTTGCATTTTACTGAGAACGGGCTTTAACCGTTAAAAGGATAGACGTTAGTAATTCATCATTGTTTTACCATCTTTTTGGGGCTTGCTGTGAATCTTCATTTGAGGCTTGCTGTTCTCTTATCCAACCTTATAATGTTTATTCTTGACCCATAGGAAGATTCAGCTCCCAGCTCTTCCCTGAGCTGGCCTGGAGCTGGTAAACTTTGACGCGACTTTGCATTCGTCATGTACCTCACCGCAACAAACCTTTCTTTCGGGGCTCCGCAGTCAGAATGGTACTGCCACTCGGTAGCACTGACTTTGACAAACTTGGGTGCCACAAGAAGAAAATGGAGCAATTCCACAATACCAAAATTGACCCACATCCGCAGGTGGGTCGTGGTTTAGATTTAAAAGCGACCCACATCTATGCAACTCTGAATTGCAACACCGGAGCACGTTTCGCTGCACGTCTCTTCTGAGTCCTCCTGGCGGTCCAAGAATTGGTGACCCCTAATCCACGGCTCCAGCATGTTTGGCAGATCTCTAGGTGCCAAAATTTGAATGTTGGGACAATTGGTGATAAATTCTGTGAATTCAGGTCAGGCAAGGAGCTTAAGAAAAACAAAGCATTGCCTGAACATTGCTGAGCCCTCGCTCAATGTGTAGTCTTTCATACTACATGCACTTGGGGTGTCATAATGCATGCTGAAAAGGCATACTGCGATGTTTACTGGGCATAAGGGTAAAATCCACGTGCTTGCAAACATAGTTTGAGTTCCAAAACTGCCAGAACTGTGGTTTTGAATTCAAGTTGTTGGCTGGTTGGCTTGCAGAATGTAAACTGGCACCAGCGTTGTTTTGTTTCGAATACATCTCAGGTGAGAGAGGCGAATATATCTAAACAACGCAAACGCAATCGCGGCGCCCTGCTCATCAGTTGAAGTCTTCAACGACATTGCAACAGGGATGTAGTTTGAAGGACAAGGTCATGGGTAAAGCGGGATGAAACGCTCAAGACCTGTCTCAAATCACAGCAGAATGATTGATTTGAGCCTATTGAATGTTCTAACATGTCACAGCAGCCAAGCATGTCTGGGCCTCATGTGCCTCCCCAATCCCTGGTTCGATGCCATGAGAAAGAATTATGATGGAAAGCCGAAACATTCTTTGCTCCGTGATTACATCGGCCTTTCATGTCATTTTTTTTGCAGTTGCTGATTTTCCCAACTCTGTAGGTATCATGATTGTTCAGTGCACCATCCAACCTCTTCTTCTGCACCAACCTGATCGTTGCGCTCGGCAACGGCACAGTTGCCACTGCTGGCACAGGCCATTCTTCTGTGAAAAGAATCCCAATGCCTCAATTGTAGATGGGATATATTAGGATGATTTGATAAACCCAATGCCATAACCGCTATAACCCATCCCCTTTTATTGCCAGAAACTGGTGTTAAACATCATCCCCAAATGGTACTGTAGCTGTTTCACAAACGAGCCTGGACTCTCCGTCCCACAGGTACTGGCACAGGCCCCTGCAAGGTCGAATTTCCACTGGCGTATCTGATTGCTTTGCATGGCCATGAAAAAGTGTGATCTGATCGCAAACTTGATCAACCAAAAGTCAACAAGGGAATATCATTGGAATCATTCTCCAGTCAAAACAACTCCCAGCCACCACGCATTTGCAGAAGCAAAAAGAACCAAATCCAAGAGATGGAGATAAAACTCTCAACAGAGAGGATTTTTCAACTGATTGCAGTTGAGGGAAATTCCCAACGCCTTCGCTGAGATGGAGGGCCTACGAGGCGAGAAGGTCTCATGGCCATGGTTACTGTAGCTCGGTTCAGTTCCGATGTTGGCACTGAAGAATCCAGGTCAAAATATGCCAAATTTACATTCAAGTCTCAGACTCATCTCCAAGGCATCCAATTCTTCTGT